GCTGGGGTTACTTAATGGTTACCAATTGGTGGCCATTAAGCCTGGGTTTATCGACTGGCTGGGGTTACTTAATGGTTACCAATTGGTGGCCATTTAGCCTGGGTTTATCGACTGGCTGGGGATGACTAATGTTTTCCAATTTGATACTTAATGGTTATACCAAATGGTGGCCATTAAGTCTAAAAAGATAGGTTTCGGGTTGGAATTTTCGATGGGCCGAGGCTACTTAATGACTTTAAGCTTTGCAAGACTTCGATTCGGATTGAATCAGGATCCATGGCTTAGGGCAGTGCGTTTTGAAGGCCTTCCACTCTGCACAGCCATACTCTAGCAGCTTTTCCAAGTTGCCGACCCCTAGGTGAACATTGAGTCACATAGTTCGGCAACCAGCAGGATAGCATCGCACATCTGAGTAAAACCTCGAACAGAACGCAACCCCCCCTAGCCCCCAGAGCAAGACGAACCGAATCAGCCCGAGGTCTCTGAAGCTCTTGTTGTCTTTGACGGTCCAAGTTGGGTCGGGGCCTTGCCTTTGCCCGGAGGTCTTCAACTTGCTAAGGAGTAGGCGAAGCTTTCTGGAAGCGCTGTTAGCCAAGGCAGCCGTAGCACCAATGAAGCCTGAATACCCAAGCGAAAGTGGTTTAAGTGCATTGCTGTATGACCAAGCGAGTCATAGTTCGGCGGGGTTGACAGGTTCGTCGGTTAGTATAGGGTTTGAGGGCTGGGCTTGGCCGACAGTGATGCAGTGAAAGCCTCGGAAGAATCCCAGCGGTCCCAGCACTAGTATAGCTAAGTCTGCACTACTTGCGCAACCAGCAACCGTGGTTCCCGGGCTCACAGGCGCATGACCATTGTATTATGACATGTGTCAGTCAATGTTGCATGCTTTTCATTCCGATTCCTGAATCTCAATGATCCACTAAAGAGTTGAAGGGACGGTTCCGACTCGGCAGTTGGAAAGGCCAGCTTTAAGGTGAGGGGAAGGTTTCAGTCAGGGAGACAAACAAAGGCTTCTGTTAATATCCTAATAGGGCATGGCCCACCTGCGGCTGTGACTGTCGCTTTAATTAAACCTTGGCGACGTCAGCATCCTCACTAAATTTCAAACTCTGCATCGTAGTCGTAGTTGTCTCTTCGCCCGGAGTTCCGGAGATCAATGGCAGAGCCAGGGGCTTCAGATCCGGATGATCCGGAGCCGCCAGTTCCGGAGCCGAAGCGGGTGGGCCCGCGAACGATGGAGCCGGAGCCCAGGTTGTGTTGGCACTGATATTTTTGAATTCTGAAGCCCTTTAAATTTACTTTCATTTAGTAAGAAGGGATATTCAGGGATTACGGTTTAATAGGGTTTGGGATCTGGCGCGAATCCTTCCACTATCTGAGGTGACTCCATTCTTCGGCAAGCCCTTTCCGGTGGGGCCGCTGCCGAAGGTAGCTTTCGCGTGGGCTCCTCCGGCAAAGCGCTCGTCGCCGGTGCTGCCCATCGCTGGCTCCATTCCTGGCACAGTGCCGGTGGGCCGCCAGCCGCCGAAGCCGAAGGTGCCAGAACTTTGGCAGCAAAGACTGACTGAGGTTTGATTATTTTCATTAGCCTTGGGTTGGAGTTCTTCGCGGGATCAGCTTTCTTCCCACGCAGGCGGCCAGAGACACTTGGCTCCGGGTGGTGAAGGCGAAGCCGCCGGTGGTGCCAGCCACTCGGTTAATCGTAATAATAATAATCTTCTTTTACTTCGGATCCTCAATTCTTAAGGGGTAAATAAATCCTCTAAACCCTAAACCCTAAAACCCTACAAAAGCTCGGATTTTCAAGTTAATAGGGTCTTACGTTAGTCCTCTCCCTAAATTTGAAGGCGAAGTCTCCGGTCTTTATGAAGCCCACCCAGAAGTTCCCGGCGCAC